TAAACAATAAACATTCACTATTATATTATAATATTTAGTGTACTTCCTATTACATTGTCCATTCCGAATTGAAACGTTCAACTTCATAGTGGATATCACGAAGAAACTAAACCAGCTAAGTGAGAAACTGAAAGGAAAGGAAAACCCTGAGAGATTTGAGCAATTCAAAACAAATGCAAGTACTCTGACTTACATAGTAGATCCTCTCAACACAAATTCAAATGAAATTATTTCATATATTCAAAGCTATTTATTTTAAATTACATATATAATATATTTGTTTAGGATTTTATATATATATATATATATATAATCCTAAACAAATATACTATTGACAAAAAATGTTAGTGGCTCTTTAAAAACCGGATAATGTTGTAATTTGTAACTTTTGGCTCTTTTGTCTCAAAAGGTTGCCGACCCCTGAGGTAGCATAAGGTCTTTACTAAGTATTTGGATAAAAAATATTTGTAACTTGAAAGAAACATCCCAAGAATCACTGCTACTTAAGTAAGCTTTACACCATTTCTTAACGAGTAACGCACCCTTTTCATTTGGGGTATCCCAGTTAAATAAGGGTTAAGACTTTTTTATGACTGAGAAAAATTGAACTGATCAGTTCTGCATATTATGAGCTGTTTTAATTAAATATTTATGACTTACAAAAATCTAAGTTGATTTGAATTCCAGGTGGTCTATCAGGTGGTACAAACTATTCAATTCCAACCCCACGAATTCTCTCCCTTTCGAGCACCTTCTAATCTTCTGAATAGAGTTCTTTCCCCTGAGTGAAAAGCCACCATCGCTGGGGTTCATTGTTCAACTTTGACCCCGCTGTTGACCTTCACAGGTGAAGGATGCTTTGCGTGTCAGTGGGCCTTTATGCGGCCCGGGCGAATATGAATACCCAAATGGTTGGGGAAAAGTTTGTTCAAATTTTTTTTTTAAATTGAAGTGGGGGGAACTGTTCACATTTAAGACTCTGGTTCAAACTCAAGCTTTATTTAACACATGGGATATTCAGAACCAGCGGGTCTCACACAGTAGTCTTCACTACACCATCACATAGCAATCACCTTTACCTGGACATTCACCTGTGTCTAGGATATATAGATTGAGTAGCATGCCCAACCTGTCATTTTAAATGGGATAAGTGTTGCCTCTAGACATCGCCCGATAGGGTCATAGTTTTCAAGCGCGATGGATAAAAAGCGCTAATCTACACGACGGTAAATTATAGGTTATGGTTTAATGTACATTTTCTAATAAATTGCCAATAAAAATAACAAAATAAATCATAATCTAATATTTCACTTTAAGAAACGAACACTTTTAGTATAGCAAATTATACTAAATCTGCTGATAAGTATTTATTTTGAACACACACACACACACCCTCTTCCCGAGACTCGTCTATGAATTAAATTTAAAAAAAAAAGATCACTCTACTTTATCTACCCAAAAAGGTAATTCATTTTCCGTATAGTTAAATTAGTGAATATATATTTTTTAATATTGTGTGCACTAAGATTTTTTATTTTAATGACGGCCACGTTTAGTATGCTTGTTAATCCTTTGTAAATCTCTAAGCCGAGTTAGATGTGAAGCAGCTTAATCTAATACAAATCTGCCACCCCAATGTATTATTTGTCATATATTTCTCTTTATATGAGGGCAGCAGAGTTACTTCCCTTAATAACATTTTAATAAAAATAATTTCAGGCTTGATTGATACTATAAGCGAGTTGGTTATTGTTTGCTAAAATAGTGTTTATTCTGTGCCTCAATGTGTTTAAAGTTTTCATGTTATATGGAGAGAAAAAATAAGAATGATGAATGTTGCAGATTCTGTTTAATAATGCTTAATGTAATGTTAATGATTAAAATAGTTACCGATTAATTTTTTTTAACTGGAAAAACTTCAAATGATTTTGTCATACAGACTATTTATAATTTATAATAGATACTTTAGAAAACGTAAACTCGCGTATAGATCACGGGTGTTAAATGTTAAAGATACTTTAAAGAATGCTTTATGTGATTCCTTTGTGTAAAAAGTTGGCACTATTTATATATTTGATACAATTTCTCAGAAAATTATGAAAACATAAACTCGTGTATACATCACAAATAAAGAATAAATCATATTTACTACTCTAGATTCAAACAAAGTTTACGGCAAGTATAGGCTACTCTTGGTGACTATGTATATTCATCTTTAAGATAACTGCTAGCATGCATAATTTATATCGTGTTTGATAGTTTTCTTTAAAATGTTAACTTTTGTTAACATCGCGAATAACATCTCTCTATACAATGTTAATTTTAATAAACACCATAATTAACTTAAATGCATATATTTTTTTCCTATTGTTAAATATATGTGCATGATATTTTAACTTTAATTTCATTTATTTATGGTATGTAGTTTAAGCGTTTTAAAATTTAAAGTACATGGAAAAATAAAACAGAAATTACACAGCGGTCAAAGTATCCATTTCTCTATATATGCCGAGGTCAAATAAACATGTAAACTCTACTTCATTTGCCCCAAACACCGTCAGGTTCGAAAGGATAACTTAACTTTATGTTGTCACTCAAAAGAAAAAATATATTTTATTTTAAAATGTTGATGCAGTTGAATTTATTGTGTAAGGATAGTCTGCCTACTTATCAATAGTTTGATGCCAAATTTTGTATAAATATAAATTCAAGCAAAATTTAAGAAGTGTTTTAAAATCTTGAAACAAGAAAAAAATAAAGTTACTGTCATTAGTTTTCTTTAATAAAAAAACAACTTGCCGATTTTTAAAAATTTTAAACGAGATTACTACGGTTAATATGTATGTCATATTTTTAAAATACGTACATACATAAAATAGCATACTTTATGTAAATTTAATATTTTAAATCTAATTAAAACCATTTTTAAATAGCAAAATTATATTAAAACTACATTTGAAAAATGTATGGCTTAATTATAAGAAAGAAACAATTATATTCAATTATTCAATTATAATTTATATAATACACAGGCAGTACATATATATATAAATTCATTAAATTACATGGAAACTTAAGACCTAGAAATTACACAGCGGTCAAAATATCCTTTTAATTTTTGTCACTATACATATATATATATATATATATATATATATATATATATATATATATATATATATATATATATATATATATATATAACTATATCTATATATATATATATATATATCTCTCTGTTTATATATATATATATATATATAAATATATATATATATATATATATATATATATATATATATATATATATATATATATATATATATATATATATATATATATATATATATATTACGAGAAAGGCACATTAATCAAATTAGGAAATTATTTTTAAAGTAAAATGAAAATCTTGAATGCAAATGACAATAAAACGATAAATATTGTTGTTTTTAAGTTAAAATGTTATATATATATATATATATATATATATATATATATATATATATATATATATATATATATATATATACTTGTGTGTGGGGTGGGTGTGTGGGTGTATATGTTCTGTCGAGATGCTCAATGTATACTTAAGACTTTTTAACACTAATTATTCATTCACTGAACAGGCAAAAAGCATTTTCCTTCCATATATTTTGCAAATTTTCGTCTTGGTGTCACCCCCCCCCCCCGTAATGGTGTCACCCGGTGCGGTCCGCACCCCCCACTCCCGCCTCGCGACGCCTCTGGAAACTAGTAACCAAAATAAAATAAATTTAGTATAAATTGTGAAAAAAGAGAACAGTGTTTAAGTTAACAATTACTAGTTCGTTTAAGGTTGTTACTGTTATAAAATAGCTCGTTTTTTTGTTACACCACATAATATAATGATTACTGTAAATTTGAAAAATTGTGTTTTTTTTTAAAAGTATAAAACAATTAGGCTCTCTTCCCAGTTAATCGCTGCTAACAAAATTAGGCGTTAACGCTACTGGACTCAATATTCGAACGCTAGAAGACACGTTTCTTACACGCTATTTTTATTGTACACTAAATTTACTTGGAGAGCATACGGTTAAGTCAAATCGTTTACTATTTTAGACGGCGAAACGTTAGTTTTATGTGCCAACTAGAATTAACTAAGAAATTGAAAGTAAAAAAAAATATTTTAAATTTTCCGTCTCTTTACAAAGCCAATATTACTTTATAGCGCACTACAAATCTAAATTTAACCATCGTAAGAGGTTAAATGTTCTCTTACAATGATAATTTAATTTATACGCTACTTATTTTTAAAACGTTTCATGATATTTCATGTAATTAATTATATTTTTTGTAAAATTCTCAAAGTCGTTTTCTAAAAGTGTCAGCTTTTAAGAGAAATTAAAATTTGAAGTAATTAGTATATTAAAAAAACACATAAACAATTGTTATTCGGAATATCAATGTAATTTTAACTTACATTCGTTATTATTTTTGTTTCCCTGGGCTATCCAGTTAACACATTTTTTCTTTTCATAATTTCTCAATTAATTATTCACTTATTTATATTTTCTTTATTTTTTTAAATTCTATTAAGTATTTATTGTTAAAACTACACACAAATTAAAAACAAGTATATATATATATATATATATATATATATATATATATATAATTTATTTATTTGTCTATTTATTTATATATATTTTTATATCTATAATTAAAAGTATAAAAAAATCTAAGGTATAGTGTTTATTCATAATATTGAAAAGTAGATGTTAATATCTCTTTTGAATCCAAAACATTTTACTGGTTACAGTTAAATAATTAATGATCTCAAAATACTGTTATTTGATTTGAAAAACAGGACAACTCTTTAATTAGAGATTGAGACAATTTTAGCCAACTATTTTCATTGAAATATTCTTACCTACCTGTGGTTTTAGAAAATATTAGCCAACTATTTTTCTTTGTTTTAGAAAATATTAGCGAACTATTTTTCAAAGAAATAGTTTACCTACCTGTATTTATAATTTTAAAAAAATATTCTGTAATTCTGCAGTTGTGGCTGGGTTGGTGTGTGGTAGTTACCGTCTTACACCTGCTACCTGTGTTGTCCTCAGGTGCGATACCCTTATCTTCACAAGGACATCAACACTAGGGGGCTCTTATCACTCGGATCACTTCGCTCCCAATGAAGTAATTACGTAATATATCCCCGGACCGATACCATCGGACGACGGGGCACTCGATGACGTCACGGCAGGGTGAGGTTCCCGCAGCCGTCAGTCCACTCGGAACCGGGACCTCATTTGCATAATCCTGCCTTTCGTGGATCCATCAGGTACCGACCGATCAAAAGATGGGTGGCGGATACTGGCGTTCGCAGCGCCGCGCGTTGAGTGGGACTAGCAAGGGGAGACTACTGCAGACTAATTATCGAAAATGGGGGTGGGGACAGACTTAGACGTCTAATTAAAAATAACTTTGAGGGGGATGGATCGGGTTGTGTTAATTAAATGTAGTTTTTAACCATAAACTTTCGTGATTTGAATCTCTATCCCAAATTTTTCAAGACTTCGACTTTAACTTTAAAAATTTCTCACTATACACAATAATAAAATACACATCGCACAAAAGTTAAAAGATGGTTGATGATATAAAGTTTTAATGCTTATTCTCTGCGCCTAGTTCTAATATGAGGAAAAAAGAAAATAAAAGTAACATTTAACAACGTGAGAAAAACTGCCTCTCATGTGAAAATATTATACATCGAAATCACCCATTTTGAACCATAACTCGTCAATGGAAATAACATACACATAACTCTCCCTATTGGAAATAAAACACATCTAAATCTGCCATATGGATATATATCTTAATCTCCCAAATGTAAATGTACTATCACCAATATGGAAATATGCTTCGAAAACTTTTATATATAAATATCATACACTTATATCGCTCGTATGGAAATTTGCATTTATAACTCCAGTTTGGAAATATCATACACCTAGAATCACATACCATCAAACACTTATGAATAAAACCTCGCTAGTTCATAGAAACCATTTTTAGTATCACACCCTCATGATTAACACATTTGGTGTCGGTTTTGTCGGTTTTAACCCTCTAACGCCTGGCTGCAGCTGTTACCCCGGACCTCCCATGTCGACCCGCCCCAGTTAACCCTCTCGCCGCTACGCTCGATGTATGTTACATCTTTAACTCTCGTCACAGTATACAGCGTCATGGATCGCTCGCGGTGATTTCCCTTTCCTACCCCACCGGGCCTGCGGTTTTCAATGTTTTATACAATTGTGTTGCTATAGAAATGGTTGGGTTTTTTTTTTCTTTTTTTTTAATTTCTTTGCCAATATCACTTTATTTTAAATTCTTATTGCTTTTTTGTTGTTGTTTTTCTCGTTTTTTTCCATTAAATTAATCTTTCTTATCAGTGTTATAATTAATTGTGTCTAGGCAGACAATTTAATAACAGTTCATTCTGACAAAAACCGTAATCAGTTGCATTTTTTGTAGTTTTTGTATAATAATTTGTTATATTAATCAATTGCATTTTTAATATTTGGATTCAATTTTATGCATTTTTTTCTTTTTTTTTTTTGCATGTTGATTGCAATGAGTATTTATTTTACTAGAATAAAAATGATTAAGTGGTTTCGATTAAGTTAATCAGATTGATTAGTATAATATTTATTAATTAAAATTAAGATTGCGATTTTTAATAAACAACACGTCTGATCAGGGTTATTATTGAGTAAATCGGAACTTGCAAACGTTGCAGAAATAGATGCAATAAATTCTCTTCGATGATAAAAACCATAATTTCCACGTATCTTTATCTGTTTGCCTTCAATCTATTCCAAGCCTACTTACCCCCATTTTTAATCCTCCGCTGTTAACATAGTTCCATCTCAAGAAAATTGTGCAAGAAATTCTTTCCCCGCGCGCGCTGGGCTCTGGGATATGTTTAAAAAGAAAATTAATATTGGCAGGGGAATATGGTTTGAAGAGGCTTTTGCAAGCCCCTATTACTGGTGAATCATTGAATATGGGCTCGGCCTCACCTTTTGTCCCCTTTAATCAGTATGGCGAACCCGTCTTCTGTTTACATGGTGTCAAAACTCTGAATAGCCCGCCCATGGCCTTTTTTTTTTTTTTTTTTGCTGTTGGGCGTCTGCAGGCGTCCGCGCAGGGAGCGGGGGCTGAGATTCTAATCTTGTTTGGTCGCTCAGATCTGGCGGTCTTCCACCGAATCCATTCACTTGCTCCACCGCTTACGGTGGATCAGATGTAAGACTCGTCAATCACAGCGAGATGGTGTTGTTGTTTTTTTTAGAGGGGGGGGGGGGGGGGGGGTAGCGGATGTGGATGGACATCCGCTCTTGTCTACCTTGTCAGTAATCTGTTTCCGGTCAGATGCAATTTATGTGCAGATAAATCTTGCCAAGATGAGTATCATGACAAACGCCATGTATATATATATATATATATATATATATATATATATATATATATATATATATATATATATATATATATATATATATATGTATATATCATATATGAGCCTATATATATATATATATATATGTATATATCATATATGACCCTATATATATATATATATATATATATATATATATATATATATATATATATATATATATATATATATATATATATATATATATATATATATATGGTTCCATGACAAATGATCTCAGGACAAATGATCTCAGACAAAATATCTCAGACAAAATATCTCACGGACAAATGATCTCAGGACAAATGATCTCAGGACAAATGATCTCAAGGACAAATGATCTCACGGACAAAAGATACCAGGACAAAATATATCAGGACAAATGATACCATGACAAATGATCTCAGACAAAATATATCAGACAAAATATCTCACAGCGAATTTTTAATAGTATTTACGATGATTTTAGTTGAACTTTTTTTATTGACTGTTAATATGGTTTTGTTTACTTTTTTACGTATAATAATTGTGAATAAAATAAATTAGTGAAACCTAACAAACCATCAAAAGGTGTATTAAGCAATTGTAGTAGCATTTGATTTGAAAAAAATAAATATTAAAACAAACTTACTCTTTTAGCTTGAAAGGTATAATAAATGATAATTTATAAAACAAATACACTAACGGTAGCTATACAACATTAATGTTCATATCACGCGAAATATATTTCAAAAATGTGAATGGGGCTGAATGTTCGTAACGTTAAACTATTGTTTTTATTTCATCATCAACACAAACATAACGTGTAAGTTTCTTTTCTGGTAGCTACATCGTTATGATCACCCCTCTCCAATACTTTGTGATCATCTATTGTGTGAACTCTTGCACGACATGTTCTAATTTCACATTTCCAAATCTCATTGCCTGTTTATGGCAAACATAAATTCACCAGAAACTAATGTCCTAATACCTTTCTGCGAGGTAACGTAAGAGACCATAGCAAAGCAATCACCATTATTACTGCTTTGTTTGATGCCCACTACGACATACTTAGCTCCGCGATGACCGCTGTCATTTAAATAAGCATTAGTCACCTGATCACTAAGGTGTGACCGACGCATAACAATGGACTTTATATGCTAGTTGTATTGTCCATGGAGGGCGGATGTCTTTCCCTTAAGGCATGTCTCTACCATCAAAGCCACCTTGCTACAAAGGTGTGTCCTTATTGTTATTCCATCCTCTTTGATCTAGTTTCGTCCACCTGACGTGGTAGGATTGTCTCACGTTTGTCAAGCACACCTACGCTGTCTTTCGAAATTATTTCTTTAATCTTGGTATACGATATTACGAATACTAACCTTAAAATGTTTAGTGCAATATGGCTATTTTATACGGCAAACATTTCTTACAATTATTATATAGGCCTATAAACAATATTAAAAATAGTAAACAAAACCATATGACAGTCAATACAAAAAAAATTCAGATCAATTAAAATCATCCAATACACTATTAAAATTTAGGTGTGAGATATTTTGTCTGAGATATTTTGTCTGAGATCAATTGTCCGTGGTATCATTTGTCTTGATATATTTTGTCCTGGTATCTTTTGTCCGTGAGATCATTTGTCCTTGAGATCATTTGTCCTGAGATCATTTGTCTTGAGATCATTTGTCCGTGAGATATTTTGTCTGAGATATTTTGTCTGAGATCATTTGTCCTGAGATCATTTGTCCTGTCACCATATATATATATATATATATATATATATATATATATCATATATGACCCTATATATATCATATATGACCCTATATATATATATATATATATATATATATATATATATATACTACGGGTTCCATGACAAATGATCTCAGGACAAATGATCTCAGACAAAATATCTCAGACAAAATATCTCACGGACAAATGATCTCAGGACAAATAATCTCAGGACAAATGATCTCAAGGACAAATGATCTCACGGACAAAAGATACCAGGACAAAATATATCAGGACAAATGATATCATGGACAAATGATCTCAGACAAAATATCTCAGACAAAATATCTCACAGCGAAATTTTAATAGTATTTACGATAATTTTAGTTGAACATTTTTTTATTTACTGTTAATATGGTTTTGTTTACTTTTGTTACGTATAATAATTGTGAATAAAATGATTTAATGAAACCTAACAAACCATCAAAAGGTGTATTAAGCAATTGTAGTAGCATTTGTTTTGAAAAAGTAAAAATTAAAACAAATAATAATAAATGATAATGTATAAAACAAATAAAGTAACGGTAGCTATACAACATTAATGTTCATATCACGCGAAATATCTTTCAAAAATGTTAATGGGTCTTCAGGTTCGTAACGTTAAACTATTGTTTTTATTACATCATCAACACAAACATAACGTGTAAGTTTCTTTTCTGGTAGGTACATCGTTATGATCACACCTCTCCAATACTACGTGGTCATCTATTGTGTGAACTCTTGCTCGGCTTGTCCTAATTTTACATTTCCAAATCTCTTTGCCTGCTTATGGCAAACATAAATTCACCAGAAACTAATGTCCTAATACCTTTCTGCGAGATAACGAAAGAGACCATAGCAAAGCAATCACCATTAATACTGATTTTTTTGCTGCACACTACGACATACTTAGCTCCGCGATGACCGCTGTCGTTTAAATAAGCATTAGTCACCTGATCACTAAGGTGTGACCGACGCATAACAATGGACTTTATATGCTTGTCGTATTGTCCATGGAGGGCGGATGTCTTTCCCTTAAGGAAAGCGGTCGGCCACCTTGATACGAAGGTGTGTC